CTCTTCTTTCTTTCCTTTTATCTTCTCTTCTCTTTCCCTTTCCCTTTCCCTTCTCTCTCTTACTTATCTTTTGGCGGGGGGGGGGGGGAGGAGGAGGAGGCAAGAGCCCCTCTTTTCTTCTTATTCTTCTTCCTTTCCTTTTTTTATTCTCTTTCCATTTCCCTTTCCCTTCTCTCTTTCTCTCTTATTTATTTTTTGGCGGGGGGGGGGGAGGCAAGAGCCCTTCGCCCCCGTTTCCCTCTTTTCTTCTTCTTCTTCCTCTTCTTTCTTTTCTTTTATCTTCTCTTTCCCTTTCCCTTTCCCTTCTCTCTCTATCTCTTATTTATTTTTTGGCGGGGGTTGGGAGGGAGGAGGCAAGAGCCCTTCGCCCTTCCCCCGTTTCCCTCTTTCCTTCTTATTCCTCTTCTTTCTTTCCTTTTATATTTTCTTTCCCTTTTCCTTCTCTCCCTCTCTCTTATTTACTTTTGGCGGGGGGAGGCAATAGCCCTTCGCCCCTGTTTTCCTCTTTTCTTCTTCTTCTTCCTCTTCTTTCTTTCCTTTTATCTTCTCTTTCCCTTTCCCTTCTCTCTCTCTCTCTCTTATTTATTTTGTTGGCAAGAGCCCTTCGCCCCCTTTCCCTCTTTTCTTATTCTTTTTCCTCTTCTTTCTTTCCTTTTAGATTTTCTTTCCCTCTCCCTTCTCTCTCTCTCTCTCTTATTTATTTTTTTGGCGGGAGGGGGGGGGGGGAGGTAAGAACCTTTCGCCCTTCCCCCTATCCATCTTTCCTTCTTCTTCTTCTTTCTTTCCTTTTATATTTTCTTTCTCTTTCCCTTCTCTCTCTCTCTCTCTCTCTCTTATTTATTTGTTGGCAGGAGGAGGCAAGAGCCCTTCGCCCCCTTTCCCTCTTTTCTTATTCTTTTTCCTCTTCTTTCTTTCCTTTTAGATTTTCTTTCCCTCTCCCTTCTCTCTCTCTCTCTCTCTCTCTCTGTTATTTATTTTTTTGGCGGGAGGGGGTGGGGGGAGGTAAGAACCTTTCGCCCTTCCTCCGTATCCATCTTTCCTTCTTCTTCTTCTTTCTTTCCTTTTATATTTTCTTTCCCTTTCCCTTCTCTCTCTCTCTCTCTCTCTCTCTCTCCTATTTATTTGTTGGCGGGGGGGGGGGGGAGGAGGCAAGAGCCCTTCGCCCCCGTTTCCCTCTTTTCTTTTTATTCTTCTTCCTCTTCTTTCTTTCCTTTTATATTCTCTTTCCATTTCCCTTTCCCTTCTCTCTCTCTCTCTCTCTCTCTCTCCCTTTCGCCCTTCCCCCGTTTCCCTCTTTCCTTCTTCTTCTTCTTTCTTTCCTTTTATATTTTCTTTCCCTTTCCCTTTCCCTTCTCTCTCTCTCTCTCTCTCTACTATTTGTTGGCGGGGGGGGGGGGGGAGGAGGCAAAAGCCCTTTGCCCACGTTTCCCTCTTTTCTTCTTCTTCCTCTTCTTTCTTTCCTTTTATCTTCTCTTTCCCTTTCCCTTCTCTCTCTCTGATTTATTTTTTGGCGGGGGGGGGGGGGCAAGAATCCTTCCTCCCCCCCGTTTCCCTCTTCTCTTATTCTTTTTTCTTTCCTTTTATCTTCCCTTTCCCTCCTTCTCTCTGTCTCCCCCATCAACATAGTAATAACGAAAGAGACCACTCTGTAATCAAGACCATTCCATTTTATTTAATACATTTTCGATATACTTAAATTGGCAACTATTACCTTCTGTCCGAGATCCTCATTTTAAACGACTGATGCGAAAGACTAGTTGACGCACCCTTTCGAGAAAAGCCCCCCCGCTTTCATCGAAAGGGTGTGTTAAAACGGAACTCCGCTCTCAACGCACCCTTTCGAGAAAAGGCCCCCCTCTTTTATCGAATGGGTGCGTTGAGCACACCACACCGCGCCGCACCGCACCGCACCCTTTCGATGAAAGCCGTACATGTAGGTGTATTATTGGCTATAGTATAGGGTCTTTTTGTTTACAAGACATAGCTTTTATTTCCATTTCAGGACAGTACTTGTAGGCATAATGTAGTACTTCATGCTCCTAAACCAGGGATCTAGCTGAATCAACACAGGGGTTCAATTTACATGTAGCATACTGTAAATAGTAATGTACATGTACATGTAGATGTAGAGCTCTATATTTACACTGCAAGCATTTTTTTCTTGACATTCAGGTTTTCGTCGGAAGTTGCTACTTCACATTATTAAACCACTAACACACAACAGTGAAGACCTACTGTACCTCTGGAGTGTTTTTTGTGTAAACGCTGGCAGAAATTTTACTGTTTTTGTTGTGCAACTTGTATGCTTACTCTCAAAACATTGATGAATGATTGCAGATTTATCTAGATAAGTTTATAGTCTTTGCTACTCCTAGCATGAAAATGATTCAGATATGGTTGCATGCATAAAAAATTGCAAGTGATTCAGGTTCGCAAAATTTTTCAATGGCAACTCAAAACTGACACAAAACTGTATTTTTTTAATTTGCAAGAATTTCGTTATCTGAAAATGGCATGGGTGTACATGGTACATGTACATGTTGTACATGTAGTTGACGTTACTGGTGCAAAAGTTACATGTTGCGATGCAGGTACCGGTACATGTATTTGTAGTTTCTTGTTTAAAAGTACTGCATGTACAGTATGTACATGTACATACATGTACATGTAGCTCGAGCCATGGCCAGATTATTAGTATTTAACGGAGAATGTTGCAAACAATTTGTGTGATTACACTTGCACCAACTGCACACGACACTATTACACATGTGCATGTAGATATGAATATTTGTTATCCTTTGGGTTCGCCAGACCATGATCACAATGCTGCAAGAAATATGATTACATGTACTGTACATTACATGTATGTGTGTGTAATTGTGTAATGACTAGAATACCAATGCTCTTTTATTAAGCGTTAGAAACAGTGCAGCACACCATCAATGCTTGTACAGCAAGAAGGGCCCTCTCCGTCTAGCTCAGTCGATCATACAAGCTCTTTCTCATTCTCATGATGCCTATAGCTGCCTGCCATGCACTCACATGCTGCCTCTCGTATAGTGTTGCCATGGAGATAGTATGGCTGTCCACTTGTGCCTTTGTAGTGGTTGTGCATTACAGTGTCAAAGCAGAATACTGTATGAATTATGCTAAATTATCTGTCAATTTTGGAACAGAAAATGTATTCACTTGTTCAGTTGTTATTAATATTATGTATATTCCCATACAAATGAATGAACAAATGAATGTACTACAGTTGTACATGTACCAGTAGCTACATGTACATACATGTACACAAAACAACACATTACATTTACATGTACATGTAGGTAGACCATACAGCAGCATATAGGCCTACATACACATATATATATATATATACATGTAATATATCCACAAAAACACAAGAAATAATGATCCTCCCTACATGAAGAAATTGTCATTTTGTAAAACAATATCTTTGTGTACGGAGGATGATATTTTCCTGTGTTTTTTCTATTTTCTATAAGTCTGAGCAGAACTACATTTAAACAAAATACATTGTACATTGTTCATGTTTTTCAACTTACATTGTATGCATATTTGTATCATCTAGACCAGGCCTTCTCAACTAGTTTATTAGAAGCGCCAAAACAAAAATGAATTGAGGTTGAAGTGCCAACCTGTATGTTTGGTGACTGTGTTACGAGGGAGCGTAGCGACCGAGCCGATACCGGGTGGGTTCCAGGGGGCGAAGCCCCCGGAAGCTAGTGGATTTAAGGGCTTTTTTGAGGCCCAGATGTGGCATTTTTAACACCTTTTTGTTCCATAAAACATCAATCATAATTTCATATTGATGTGAAATAATTAGTACAATTCCTGGCTAAAATCTACACTGTTAGTTAATTTATATGTAGTTATTTTGGTGCAATAAACACGGAAAATGTCAAAATGAAGTGAAAATCAAACAAACAAAATGGCTTGCTTACATTTTGGGCTCAACTTCGACTGCGACTTTTTGATTTTTCTGAGTTTTTTTATTTTAGAATATAATTTTTTAATGTTGTTCTTTCTTTAATTTTTAATTTTTATTAATTTGTTGAAACAGCCGCGCGCCACTCTGACTAACCGCAAGCGCCACGAGTGGCGCGCGCGCCGCCAGTTGAGAAGGCCTGATCTAGACCTATATCCTGGTGTTCACATTATGTTGCCTGTCATGTCATTTTTGAATGATCATGTGAGAGATTTGATCTCCACCTCACAGAGACACTTACATAACAACATCTTACAATAAAACTAGTTGATTAACAAACTAAACAAATAATTAGCTTGTACAATAGGTTCATAAACCAATGTTTAGAAGGAGTATACAACCTATTACAACTTCTTACCTTTAATAAGCTACATGTAGGGAAGCTAATTAATGTAGATCTACAAACTGTAGTGTTTGATTTTGTATACCTCTTGGTCTAATAGCCATTATATTGAGAGCCTGTCATGTATGTGTTGCCATGTCTGGCAAGCCTACCCTGTTCAATAGCTAATACATTCATGTCATTTGAAATGTATTTGTTATATATCGACTCAAGCATTTTTGCTTATGATAGTTGGCCTCTGCATTTATCTTGATTATTTTTTAAATATTTTTGTTTTACTTACCTCCATACTTTCAAGCTGTCAATTATATATGCATTTGTATGTGTGTGTATTTAAGTTGTCACTCTTTGTGTAAATCAATTATATTATATTATTGTTATTTGAATGTTTTATATTTGATTTGTCAATATTAAAATGCAGAAACATCTGCTAAAAAAGAAAAGAAAAAAGAAAGAAAAGATGTCCTTGTCATTTTATGAGCTTTAATATAAATGAGACAGGTTATAACACAGACATCTGACATTTATACATAAGTCCTTTTACACGTACATGTAGATGGCACTAGTAGATCCATGAAGATAAAATTGAAGACATTTTATTTTGTTCTCTCTCTCTCTCTCTCTCTCTCTCTTTCTCTCTGCCAGGATTCTTCGTCTGCAATTCCAGTGACTCTGAAGGTTGACGCTCATGGACACTTTCTCTATTGGAAGATCCAGAATAAGGTATGCATTTCACTTAATCATTTTTGCATTAAAAACAAGTGTACATGTTTAATGTAAATTGTCTTACATAGTCACACATACACGTAAAGACAATCAACGTCAAGTGAATAGTGTAAACCATAATTAAGATGAATGGCGCTGTAACAAACCGACAGGTAGAAACTATTTATGTATGGACTACTTCAATGTTTTAATGAAGTGGAGTGTTGATTCACTTTGATACACCTTTCACACAGTGCTCACTTTCTGTTCAGTTTTGATATATTTTTGACAAATATTAGCAAGCAACAATTTTACTTTAAAAAAAGAAGAAAGGGCCTTTTAATTGAATTAACTTGCAACGATACAAACATATGTGTTATATCTCTTTTGTTATGTATAAAAGAAATAGGAGATTAATAAGCTACTTGTAAACACAACATGCATAAAACACAAAATGACTTAACATGGACAATTGTAAATATCCAAAAGAAAGATACAAAGCAGACACATTAAAATAAGTGTCGATATACACCAGTCTTCTCAAAATAACAGCTCAGAGTATCAGTGCCAATGTGAACATTAAACACAAACATATTCACTGTATGCAGATTTGCAAAAACAAATCTTGAGAAAGTAAAATCGAAGATGCTGTCTTGACTTAAGTTTTGCTCCATTATTTGAAATTTAAACATTCCCCAAGGTCACTTCTTAAGCCCTGCCATGCTCCACAAAAACAACTTTTAGTATCAGATTATCTCCTTTATAATTCATGTTTGTTTTTCTACTTACAAAACCATGTTTGTCAGTGCTGGGGTTACTAAGTTATTTGAAAGGCAACGGAAATGTTTACAAAAAATGCTTAAAAGAATACTTATAAAAAAAAATATGGGCATTATAACTATATACAGACAATGCAATGTATCATGTGCACCACCCAGAACCTTTTACAGAGGTACATGTAGTTTCATTATAATTAGATTATCTAAATTCAACTGTTGCTCAGATGCAATCAATATGAAATCCTTTTCTGGAAACAATGTTACTCAACATATACTAGTACAGTAAACATGATTTAATCAGATTAGCAGCAAATGCCAAACAGATAGGAAAGGCAAAAGAAATCAATTTCATTTAAAGAGCACACTGCCTTCTGTGATGACTATGATGGTGTGTTTCTACTGCTGGATGAAGAACATTCCATCCAGTCACTGTATATGCACAATATCACAAACTACAATGTATGTGGTGCACAGCCTCAACAGCTGTTTCGATATATATGCACTATTCACGCATAACCTGTTCAATGATAATTTATTTTTTGTTTCAAGTTGGTAGTTTATCACCATAATGATGAATTCATGTGGAATGATTGATAGGGTTATGGGAACACACTTGTTGAGCAGGGCTGGGTATATTTGCCTTGACTTTTGTTGAATCAATAACACAAATATGATGTGTATGGTTATCTCACTTCGCAAGGAGAAGAGGCCTGTGGAGTATTATCAGTAATATGCATCTAGAACGCTGATCAAAAGCATTTTATTTTTGTGCAGGCTGTATTCTGAAATATTGATTTGCGTCATGGAAAAAGGTGAGAATATTTGGACATGAGATAAGACAAAGTTACATACTTGTACATTGGTCAGCTGACTATCTAATAAACTTTGTAACACTGTTGATGTATTTCATCAATTTATTCCTTTTTTGTTTATTTATTAATTAATTTATTGATTAATTTATTCATTTATTGTAGTTATTCATTAACTTATTCAATTAAATATATCTTGTTATTTATTTATTCTGTTGATTAATTAATTTTTTTATTTTCCCCCTTATCTTTATTTATCTTTCTGCTTATTTATAATAATTTATACAAAGAATAACATGAACATACACGTTTATGTATGTCAGTTTGCATTAATTTAGTTAGTCTTTAACACGGTATTTTCATTTCAAATTGCATAAATTATAAATACTTTTTTTCAAATTGAAACAATTAAACTCACAGAATAAACATTCATTGGGGTCCAGTGTCCTCCAAACCAGGGGAAAGAAAGCAGATTGCACTGGATTTATTTATTCAGATATAGGCAGTCATGTTTATTAAAGTGACTTGGTAACATTGTTGAAGGTTGATGAAAAAAATTGCTTAATTTTTTGTAAAAAATGTTACTTATTATATTCCTTCTACTGTACTGACCCTCTGACATGCAAAAAAAATCATGACAAAATTCTCAAACCACGAAGATATCTATGGTTTTCTTTGAAGGCGTCGATGTACGACACCCTCTAACAGTGATCAACAGTAAATTCTCCCAACCATTTTTTCATGAAAAAAAGACATAGAACAGGCTATAAAAAATCTGTCAACACTTAAATGTCTGGAATGGAATGTAGAGCCATTTTATTGCTTTGTGACCATTTCCATTCACCTAAAATGTAATTAAATTGTAAGAATATAGTTGGGAGAATTAAGGAATCGATCAGATCAGTTTTTCCCAATTTGTACCATGAATAATGGTCCGTTTTCACTCAAATTTTCAGATTATCTTTAATTGTACATCTAGCATTGAAGTCACTACCTTAGCACCACTATCTCTCATCTAAACAATGTTACCAAGTCCCTTTAATATAGTTTAAAAATCTTGAATAATGCTTTTAACAATCTTTATAGCCCACACATCCATGTACATACATTTACATGTCAACATGAATGAAATATTTTGTCTACGGTTACATGTAGATACTGCAATAAAAATAGTCCCCTAAGACATAGAAGATAGGTATTTAGTGTAAGTGAAAGCAGAACTATCAAATACATATACAAAATAGATAGCTTCTAATCTGTATTGTAACCATTGATAGAGTGTGCCTATAGCTTCTCTGTTTACAGGCTCGTCTCTTTCGTTCTCTCTCTCTACCAGCAAATAATATGTTCTCTTTGACACAGAACGGGTCAAGGTACAACACACCCGCTGAAGAAACTGTATTAGCCTTAGTGTATCTATATGCATGTAGCTCAGTTAATAGCACATCAAATACAAGTAGGCCTACCATTCACTTTCTTAGGCAAAAAGAGACATTTTCATTTTCCCATATTTTTCATTTGAAACAAGTAGGCTACATCATAAATGTAAATGTTATAAGGTTTATCAAATTTACATTTCATAGATCTACATGTATGGACAAAATTGGAAATGAGAAAATTAAAAAGTGACTACGGTAGTGTTACATAAAATTTGTTTGGAACATGTACAGTGTACATACATACAAGCTGAAATCATGAAATAACAATACTGATTAACATTGTGTGTTTTTCTGTTTGAAGAAAAAAAAACACAAGGAAAAAGAAAAGATTTTGTAAAATGCATGAGGTTTAAATACGATATGTTTTACTGGTACAAAAACCAGTTAGTACATAATACATACACAGACTCATGTTCAATGAACTGTACAATGTACTAGAGGTTTACAAAAACACTTGTCTTATTTTACGTGTCGATTCAACTGAATTGTCTCATTATGCAGGCAACCTCTCTCTCCTAAAAAAAGTACACAACCATACCTATCATTGTATCATGATACATACGTGTACATGTAGATACATACATGAATGGTACAGTGTACAGTACATGTACAATAGGGGGGGGGGGATTTCTCTTTATTTCAGAGTCAATAGTACAACACAAAGGTTTACATGTGACTTTCACAGTCTGTGATGCAGATAAATTTTTATTGTTATTTTCAATCATTTTTTATGCATGATTTGTAAGTTGTATGTAATGATCATTTACATACTGTTAAGGTGAAATTGTTATTCATTTTTATTGGCTCAGAACATTCTTTTTATATTTAATTTATTTGCATCATTGCTCAATTTGTCTTGTTAAAATGTTCACTCAATGTATTTCTTGTGATTGTGTTCACATTGTTCATATTAGGAGGGACCCAGTAGTAAATTGGTAAGTATGGACACATCAGGGACACTTTCTGTCCTACCTTTACTCCTCTTGTCATTTTTTAGCAGTTTTGCATGTATTTCAAAGTTTGCAGTGAACCTTCAAACCTTTTCCAGCATCCCGTAGACATTTAGTTTCGAAATTCCTACTTTTTCCCATCGTTCATTACATTATTTAATGTGTGAGGATTTAATTGCTGTCATGATGCAACAATGGTATTATTTTTAGAGAACAGTGTGCATACATGTAACTTCATATTTGAGTAATTTGACCCAAACTATTTTTTTGAAATTGAATCATATTTTGATGTGTCAGATGTGGGTAATTCTGTTCAGTTGAAGAGGCGAATTAAGTGTTTTTGTGATTAACAATTATGCAGGTAAATGAGAGCTTATTATTCCATGCCAACTGGACCTCGATCATAGCTCATATGTTCATTATTGTGCATGGTCTTTTTTAATATAATGGTGGTTTTCCATAGGGTAACATACATGTAGGGCAAATTGCCCCCATTCCATATCTGATTATTTTTCCACCGGTGCCAAGGGAAGATTGCATGCCATGAATTCTATTCTTTTTTACTTCTCAAAGATGTTTATAAATGTTGTACTTCCAATACAGATCATTTTTATTTTTTTCTTAGCATTATCTTTATGTGGTGGGATATTTTTGACAGCAATTGCATAATTCTGTATAGTTCAACTTATATGCACTTATGAGGCTACCATGAACTGTTACCAAATGGAGAACTTTGAATTCAAAGCCTGCATTTTTATATTGATACAGAAAGCGATTTGTAGCAAAAACACTTTTGAAATAACTCATCAATATAAACATTTATGTACCAAAGAGAAATGTGAGTATCAAGAGATTATTATTGAAAACCATGTTTCATTCACGGCCTTGTACAAATAAGTTGAAAATTGAAATGCGTTGAAAAAAACACCTCTGCTAGCATTTTTTATTTGAAGACAAAGGACAGAACTTTAAAGAAATTCCATGCTAATTAAGAGATTTCGTGAATTTGAATTCCTTTAAGAAATCTGCATAATGTAGAAAAAAAATGATCATGAGATAACAAAATCAATATCGTTGCTAGTGTTGATATGATACCTAATTTTTTCAGGCATCTTTAGATCTTCATTTTTCGGTAGCCTTACACATTATAGCCAGTAATTATTACATACTACTCATGTTTAATTGTAAAATTCCTGAAAGTTTTGGCTTTCCAGTACTTTTTTATGGTGAGCACTACATGTAGATGGGAGCACATTAGTAGCTTTGTATCACAAAACATATTAAAGAAGCACCCTTTCTTTTATATTTCTATATACACTGTACATGTAGGTAGTTTATAGGTGGTATGATAGTAAATGTATATTGTTTTCTATGTAATATACTCTCCTATATTTCTATGATTGCAAAATATAATGTACCAATGAATGTACATGTACTTGATTATTTCTTAAGTACCATGTGAGTCAAAAAAAAGTTTACACCTAGAAAATTGGTAATTATTTTTAAAATCATCTATGAACAGTAAGTTATTATACATCTTATGAAAGAGTGTTTTATCCCAAGTCATTTGGTACCATTTTTGTGTGGTATGTGTTCATGCTTGGATGAACAGGTGGCATTGTTTGCAATAGTGCAAAAATCGACTTGCGCCAAAGTGATGCCTACAGTATGTATTATGTTGGGATTAGCGGAGTGAGAGAATGAATTGAATGTATCAAATGAATTGCATTGCATATGTTTTTTGTAAAGGGCAAAGTCACACACACATGTGCACACATGTTGCATTGATATTTGATATTCAATATTTGATATGTGTGGCATGATTAATTTTGTAAGGGATGTTATTTGGATCTGCAAAGACTGAATTAATACCCAAATCCCAATTGTTTTATTCAAACATCACATAAGCAACTTTGGCGCAAGTAGATTTTTGCACTTTGCCAACAATGCCTCCTGTTCATCCAATCGCGAACACATACCACACAAAAATGGTACCAAATGATTTGGGATAAAACACTCTTTCATTAGACATATAACAATAACAAGTTCATCAATGATTTTTTAAATAATTAGCACTTTTTGAGGTGTAAACTTTAAAAAAAAAATTTAATGTCTGCTGAGAGTCACAAAGGCATTATTACTCTGTGTAAATGAATGCCCTTGTGGCTCTGATAAGACGTAATGATGATGTTTATGATACTGTGTGCATACATGTATGTTGTATAGATATATGTAGATAGCTGAATTGTACAATACCCTATTTACAATGTATTCTGAATCATCCACGTAGAAATATTATTTGATTACATGCATTTAGCCTGCATTAAAGGAGAATCCAACCCTAATAGAAAACAACATTGAAAGAAAGCAGAAAAATCTGAGAAGTATATATAGACCGGTGAAGGTTTGAACAAAAAATAATAAAGGTTAGTGATGTAAAGTGCATGAAAACTTTCCCATTTGTTCCAACACACAAAGTGGCTAAAATGGCAATTTTTCAGAGTGTCTTTCCTTTTTAGAGGACAGGTGATTTTGTGCTATCCGTAATATATTTTGAGTAGTGTTACCCTGAGGGGGAAGGCACTTTAATAGAAGGAGAACAGAAATCAATGACATTTTTGTACTTGATGATTTGAGATTTGCATAGATAATGATCTCATCTTTACACATTCATGAATCTATTATCATTATTCCTATTTATTTCCAACTTTCTGCATCTCTCATTTGTCTGCTTTCATACAAATGATCTTTTTACATAATGTTGGATTGCTCTTTAAATACCTTTTAGAATTCAGGTCTTTTCTTCTTTTTCCATTTGTACCTGGTTCAACACAATGAACTTCTTATCATTTTGATCAAATCTTTACCCATTCTTATTATAAGAGAGAGGATCGTGCACTAGATCGCGCTATCTCTGAGGTTAGAATGCGGTGACATCATTCCTCCCAACCTCCTGAGCGTGCTCCATGACTTGAGAGATACCGGTAGCGAGACCTAGCACGTGTGCTACATTGAGCTATCTCCTAATAAGAATGATCAATTCAAGCAGATCATGCTAGCATATCAGAAGTGGTTTAACCTTAATCATCTTCCTTGTTTAATATCAAGTAGGATCGAGGCTTTGTAATAGTGCGGGAAATGTGTACTATGGTACGTCATGTAGGCTGTCATGGCAACAAGACCTCTCAAAATGGGCGTCCTCCAATGGATTGCTCCAACTGACTATACATGTACATATAGGTGTGAACTAAACTAGTGCTAGTGGACCTCCCTGGCACAATCCATGCTCACTCTTGTAATGAGAATGGGGCCCTTCACACACAAACACAACCTATAATTAAATATGAATGCTCCCTCATAGTATCATAACATGTGTGAGGTATGCATTCTCTTAGCAAGTATTGTTTACTTGCTGTCGTGATCAAGGCTCAACACATGTATCGTTAAAATGTATAAACCAAAATATCACTAGTCTCCCATGGAAAGTAGAAGGAGAAAGATTTTTGTTTCGAAGCAGATTATGCATTATTGGAAACTAATTTAATTTCTCCTCTACCGGTATGTTACAACTATATTGTGTAGCATGACATTAGTTTACTACATACTGTATATGTTTTATAGATGTTTGTGTGCAGTGTTTTTACCGCTATTGGAATGCATCATCTGATGTACTACTTGCAGTGCCTATCTATATATGCCTGCTTACTTGTACTATGATACTAAGGTTAAAACGTAAATTGTCAACTCAAAGTGTAGAATATATTTTGAGTATTTTATACTTGATTTGTACCAAATGAGTAGAAAGTGATTTTTATGATTTGAGTGTGTATTTTGTGCCATCTGTTAAAGTTTGATGGTACTTTGCAGTATGGAAATCAAATAATGTAGTTGCTTACTTATTTCCCTTAATTTGTTTAGTAATTGTGTATTATTTTAGCATTGATACATGTAGAAATGTTGAAGTATTATTATTATGAAATAGTATTTTATTACTAGTTGTAAAAAAGTGATGCTTGAATCTTTGAATTGCCCCCATTTTGTTTTGGCCCGTAGTTCCTTTCCTCACCCCAGCATGGTTTATTTCTTTTGATTTGCTTTCTATCCTCTTATGCTAAAGTACAAGTTTTTGTGAGTAGCATATTAAATTGTTGATTTAGATACCATTTATAGTGAGTTACTTGATTATGCATACCAGTAATTATATGATTGAGTTATGTGGAGTTTTGTAGCTTAGTTTGGTGCAAAAGTTGGTAATAATGGTAAGATTTCAAATAAGTAATGAATTAGTGCTACTATAAAAATTTGTGAAGGGAAAATTGAAATAGTCTAAGACTAATAGGTACATGATTCGTTAATTAAAACCATTTTCTTCTCATCACAATAGTTGACGTACATGTAGTACAAACTATTATTGCACATAAGCCGCACATTATGCCTGGATATTGATGCTAGGAAGCAACTACATGGTATTTCATGCCTTAACACTTTTACAGCAAGTTTTTGCTATGCAGGAGGTCCACAGAGGTTTTGTTTTTCTCATGTAGATATCTCTGTCCATTCTTCTGTACATTAATCTAGATAATCATGATATTTCAACAATAGTTTTGTTTGTTTTTGTGATTTTTTGTGATATACAGCTTAATCCTGAATATCTTACCCTGGGGGAAAATCTTTCAAGACCATATCTCCATCCATTCCAACTCCCTGGGTAAAGTGATACCTACTCCAACTAGGATGCATGTGATTTTGTGACATACATGTACACCCATCTGTATGTTTTACTGATCCATTGATAGATAGAAACTATTTATGGTAGATAGAATATTGTATAACATTGTTCTTTCTGTTTTACTCTGTTTTTTATTTGTTTATTTAGTTTTGCTCTTGTTATTTACATGTTCAATGTATAGCCTACCTTTGAATTTAATAGTTTGTGATGAAATTTACCTGTATATTGGTATGTCAGTGCAAGCGCCTAATATATT